GCATGCACACTCCCACGCAGCTCCAATTTTACGACTGGTAGAATCGACCCAAGAATGCAAAATAGACCTTCATGAGGCATCAAAGGGGTGTGTCTCCCGACAGTCTATTTTATCCTCGTTTAAAAAGGCTGTCTGTTTACACAGCAACTCCCTCTAGCTCTGCGGCGCTAGTACTGGCTAGTCTAATGGTGTGTGGCATCGAAAAATGCACTTTGCGTTTCAGATGCATACAGTCCATTCAAGCAATATATAGAACTGGAATTTCGGCGTGACCCCGATAAACAGGATGCGCAATACCACAAATTCGAAACCCGAGAGGATATGCTTAGTAGTAGCAATTGTGAAACTTGGCCACCAGCACATGCAACATAGTGAGACGCGCTGGCTGGGTACAATCTTCCGTTGCATTCCTCATCCCCAATGTATGCCCACAGCGTACAAATTCTTTCATCTGCAGATGAAGAATATACGCCATATTACTTATATGGAGGCTTTCCATTGGGGAAGATATCCTTGATCTTGAGCCCTCCTTTGAGAAGGTCTGCTAACATACCTTCTTCTTCTTCCAGCTCCTCAGCCTCTAGTTGCTGCTGTTGAGCGTCTGCTTGTACTGATTCACAATTTCTGCCATACGCTCCACCTGAGGCCTGCCAAGTACTCTCCTCAACGGTTGGAAAACCACCCATGTCTGCAAATAGACCTCCTTCTTCTTCCAGCTCCTCAGCCTCTAGTTGTTGCTGTTGAGTATCTGCTCGAACTGCTTCATAATTCCCGCCAGAAGCTCCGCCTGAGGCCTGCCAAGCACCCTGCTCAACGGTTGGCAAACCGCCAACGGGACGTAGAGCGCGCCGATCATAACTGCTGTAGTGGCGGTGGCTTGAGTATGTGTGGCCTCCCCTAGGCACCGTTGTTTCAGTGATTTCAGGTCTTGTATGTTGAGGATGAGGCTGAGGTGGGGTCATGGATTCTTCCCACCAAACAGAGTAGGGCATTGGCAATGAGGTACCACCGCCGCCTCCGGACGCATAAATTGGCTTCGGTAGCGTGGGCCCGTCCAGGGGCCCTATTTGGGCAGTAAGGCTTGATGATACTTGTGAAGGTATGACGCGCATAGTGGGTTCCTGTCGATGCATTCCTGATACCTGAGAACTAAACCTGTGGTGGAGAGGTGGCATTGGAAGGCGCTGCGGCAGGTGATGTTGGGGAGTGCGGTTACCTATGAGTGATGGTGCGGATCTAGGATATAAAGGCTGTACGAATGGTGCTGTTGCCTGCAAATACTGGGGCTCTGCAGTGGCTGCCGCTTGCACTTTGGAGGCAAGCTTTTGGAGCTGCTGTCTGTTCCGGTGGGTTCCATTACCCGGTCCATGTGGGCTGTGCACGTAATCATATGCGTGCTCCTGGCTGGCTACAGGAATATTATACTTTGTTAATGGTGTCCCTGAAGTTGTTAGGAGACCGCCAGCGCTTGCAACAGCTTGATGAATTTCCCCTTTCATGTACTTCAACGGAGGCA